GACTACGGCACCTCCCCCATCATAGTCAGCCCCACAGCAAGGAGGCCATTGTTCTGCTCTGATCCTGATGCCAGCAGCTAGGGTGAGAAAAGGACAGCCACAGAATCATAGGATTATGATTTGCCTGCACCAAAGGATCCATAGAGATTAGCTAGGTCAAGGCATTCCATTTACAAAGGAAGAAATTGAAGCCCAGGATGGGGAAGATGCCTGTCCAATATTGCACAACAACTTAGGGGCAGAAATCAAGTCTCTAGAGTCAACTTCTCTCAGGCAGAGCAACTTTGTAGCTTGAGAAGATTTAAACACAGATTACATTGCTTGGTAGGATTTAGCACAGGTCAGGGATGGGAAGTCTTGGAATAGAATTCCAGCTTTTTCATTTTCTTGCTTTCTCTGTGTGTGTGTGTGTGTGTGTGTGTGTGTGTGTGTGTGTGTGTGTGTGTATTTGCTCGAGTGTGACCTTTCCCGCTTTCTGGGTCTCAATTTTCTCATCTGCAAAATAGAAGTAGTACTGCTTGCATTACCCATTTCACAGATTCGTTTGGACACTGCTCCGTAAATCTTAAATCACTATATAATTTTTTTTTTCTTTTGGTGAGGCAACTGAGGTTAAGTGACTTGACCAGAGTCACACAGCTAGTGAGCGTTATGTGTCTGAGGCCAGATTTGAACTCAGGTCCTCCTGACTCCAGGGCCAGTGCTCTATCCACTGTGCCACCTAGCTGCCCCAATTACTGTGTAAATTTGATTTTTTACTATAAAGTTCATAGGGACAAAGCAAGAAGGAACCTTGGACACCCCTAGGTAATATAACCCCCTTATTTTATAAATTAGGAAACTGATCTCAGAGAATTTAAGTGATTTTTCCAAGGTCACAAAGTAGTAAATGACAGAAATGGTTGGGTTTTTTTTTTTTCTGCAATTGACCCCAGAGCTCTTTCCACTATACCACATGTACCCTATTATAGACTTGTTACCGCTATTAGAAGAGATGGGTAGAGGAGGCCAGGCATGCACATAGACTCCATCCTTATATTAACCCATTAGATTCCCATAAATAAAGCTCTGTGCTTTGGCCATGGATTGCTCCCCCAGATCCCAGATTACTTTCTTGTAATGGAAGTTGTGAATCACAAAGACAGAGGGTCAAGAGAATGGGATGCCTCCTGTGTACCTGGCCCTGTGCTACTGGGTGTGTGCGTTGGGGGGGGAGGTACATAAAGGAGGATAAGATGCAGTCCCTGCCCTCATAGGGGTGACAGCATGTCAGGTGGGGGGAACCTTAGTGCATCCTTCATAGCATCACTTAGTCCTCAATTCTCCATGTTCTTTTTGGTCCCTAATTAGTATTAGATATTTAGCCTGAAGAACACTAGGAGTTGGGGGTGAGAGAAGGAGGAGGATGGGGGCAGCCTTCAAGTATTTGATGAACTGTCAGGTTCTGTTTGGCCCTGGAGAGCTAATAATCTACTTTGCTGGGGAAGTAGCTCAAACCTAGGCCCTTGGGTGGCTAGCAGAGCCATTTTTAGGAATGCTGTACTAACAATATCAAAAAATAGTGATGAAGGGACAGCTAGGGGGCACAGTGGAAGTCAGAGGACCTGAGTTCAAATCTGGCCTTACACCAAACACTTGACACTTACTAGCTGTGTGACCCTAGGCAAGTCACTTAACCCCAATTGCCTTAAAAAAGAAAAGAAGAGAAAGAAAAGAAAAGAAATAGAGATGAGACACATAAAACAGTAGGAAGAGTAAACCAAGTTCTCTCCTTTGCACTGTTGTTACTGAGCTTAACACGGTGCCTGGCACATACTAGGTACTTAGGAGATGTTTATTGATCGGTTGATTGGCTGAGCTGCCTGCTACCAGAAAAAGATGTCTGTAATTGTTAGATAGACACCTGTGGCCAGTCAAATACAATTGTGTTTGTTTTTCTCAGTCAGCGTAAAAATGGACAGAAGAGAGTAGACATGCCTACCTTCTTCCTTTCCCAGATTTAATGCCAGAATGGAAAGCAATAGTGTGGTGGAAAGAGGGCTGCATTTCACACCAGGGTGTGAGTTCAAGAGTAGTCGCCACAAAGAACTTTTACCATCTTGTTTCCAATGAGTGAAGTCAACAAGCATTAATTGAGTGCCCAGTATGTTCCTATTACTGTGCTAAGTACTAGGGATACAGAGACAGAAAAGCAGTACCTTTTCTCAAGGAGCCTCCATTCTAACGGGAGAAGACAACATATAAAAGGAAAGAAAAAAGTGAGAGTGGGGAGTAGTAGGAGGAGTGTATCCTGAAGGGCAATGAAGGAGTGAATATGACTGAAGGGGACACTTTCTTTAAAATGTAAGTTAGCCAATCAAAGAGTTCAATCTTAGGAGCAAAGGGTGAGAAGGCTAGACAGTTGCTTCAAGGCACTTCTCCCACATCAGTTATCATGCCTTGGCAGTAGTTATGCTCGTTTATACAGTTACAGTATAGTTCTGGAAAGCTGGATGTAATATACACTCTTAGACCTCTAACTATGGCAGGGTTACCAAGGTTTTTTCCCTGGGTGCTAAAAAAATCAATTCCCCCATGGTTACAGAGGGAGCAGAGAGGGATACACACATGAGAACATGGCAGTAGGGAAAGACAGGAATACCAGCACTAGCCCCCCACACTCGGGGACCTCTTTCTTTCCTTGTACTTAGCTCCTGGCTTAATTACTAAAACCTGTCTACTTTGGCAAATAGGACTTACACTTTCACCAGAGTCCAGAAAGTGGTAGATGGGCATCTCCTTTTTTTTTTCATAGATCTTATAATTATCCTCTAATCCAGGTCAAGGATGGACAAGGAGTATAGAAGTGAGAATGGTGGATAGTTCCTGAATCATAGTGTTGGAGGATTATGGCATGCCTGAGCCAAAGGATCGATAGAGGATGCTAGCGAGGTCAAGCCCCTCCATTTATAAATGAAGAAACTGAGGCCCAGAATGAGGAAGAAACCTATCCAGTATCTCACAGCGATTTAGTGGCAGAATTCTGCGGTGAATGATGTGTCTGAGCCCATGGTAAGGGAAGGCATGGGGTTGCCCCAACACCAAGTAGAATCCTTGAAGTGTGGACCTGACCATTCATACTGGCCTTTACAAGGAGGCCCTTAGGACTTCCCTCCTCAGGGAAAGAAAGGCTTGGACAGGAGACCTAGCACAAGAGGACCTACAGAGCGATGGGTCTTCACGTCAGCAGGGAGGACATGGTCTCCTGCCCCATCCCCTGCAGAGAAGGGTTGGGGAAGCCATCTGATTAGGATGAAGGCATGGTGTTGCCATTAGCTTCCATCCCCTTCCTGCTTTGTGAGAGTCCCATCCCTTCTTCTCAATGTCTGGGTCAACATAAGAGTTGCAGGAGGCAGTTGTTAAGAGCTACATGTGGATGGAAGAGTGAGGTGAGGGTGGTGTCACGTGGGGGTCTATGCCTTTCACTTTGGCCACACGTGGCCTAGTAATGAAGTACTCCCTGCTGCTCCCCACAACTAAGCCCTCCCCTTCCCCATCCATGGTGCTGTGGAGACCATGTGGCCACACACTCACCTGGCCCCAAGTCAGGAATGCTACTTTAAGCTCCAAATTGAACTGTCTTTGTTCAGAAGATCTTGACCCTTTGCCACTTCTCCTCCCCTCTGCCTAGGCTAGGCCTTACTCATCATTAGCAGGAAGGAAGAGAGATAAGCATCTGGCATATTGCCTCTTTGCCAACATGGCAGGGGGGTGGGTGGAAGAGAGAGGCAGGTAGATATGTCAAACGTCTCAAATCTCTACCTCATCTCCCCCCATATGCCCACACCCACATGTGCACACTTGGGGCCTCTGGACTGGCTAGACTTTGCTTAACTACTTAACAACAATGATTAGTTAACCTTGGAAGCTATCTGATGGTGCCCTGGGATAAGCTTCTTCCCCATCCTGCATGGCAAGGGGTGCCCTGTGCCACTTCAACTGAAGACACCTTCTGTACCTCTTGCCTAGGGACAAAAATTCCTAGTTTTAGCTCTGTGTGTTTTCCTTTCAAGAAGACTTATAAATATGCTTTTGTGGGTCTGCAGTGCATATCCACGGAAGAAAGAAATCACAGAAATTCAGGAGTGAGGAAGAAGAACGAGGGAAATGGGCTATAAAAGCATCTACATAGCACTTTAAACGTATGTGTGTGTATGTGTGTGTGTGTGCATACACACATAATCTCAAAAAGAAAAGATAAACATCTTTAAAAATAAAGATCGTCCTGTTTTTCTATACTAAATTGGGTTGTGGTTGTTGTTTTGGCCTTTTTTTTGGGGGGGGGGGTGAGGCAATCGGGGTTAAGGTGACTTGCCCAGGGTCACACAGCTAGTAAGTTTCAAGTGTTGAGGCCAGAGGTGAACTCAGGTCCTTCTGACTCCAAGGCCAGAGCTCTATCTACTGTGCCACCTAACAGCCCCCACAGAATTGGATTTTTGATGAAAAATGTTAGGTTGAAAAAACGGTTGGCTGGTTGCGGCCTAATCAGAGACCCTGAATGTCTCAATCATTCCCAGAACCCTGAATGTCAGAGGTGGCCTTAGGACAAAGACCACAGATTATTTGGGCTGGGAGGGTCTGAGAACACCAACCTAGAATGCCACCTTTAGAAGGAACCTTAGGGAATACCTAGTTCAGCGCCTTTATCTTTATGAAGACTCAGGATGATTACGTGATTTGCTCAAGGTCACACAGTTAGTAGAAGAATCAGGACAGGCACCCAAGCCTCACGGGGCTGTTAATTCAGTGCTCGGTCCGTGACACCGTGCTGCCAACATCAACAACCTGCTATTTTCATTCAGAGATCACCCCAGCACCAGCAGCCAAAACAGAATCAACAGAGCTGGGAGAGAATAAGGCAGGTGTGCTGATCCAGACCCCAGACCCACCTCTCTGCCTGGGGGGAGTTAAACAATGCCACCAGTGCAGGGACAAACATGTTTATTGATAAGTTAGAACGTCTACAGACTAGAAAGTTCTTGTGTTCTCCCACTTTCAGCTCCCTTAAAGTCTGATTTAGGAGCAAACTTGGTGATCTCTCCTTCTGCCATCGTCTCTGTCTCCTCTGACTTTCTTTTACGGATGTGTCTGCTGAGCCAAGAGCGGCAGATATTCTAGAATTAGGAAGACATGATCCAGAGTGCACCCTAGAAGAGGACAAATCAAACCAGCGACCTGGATGAGAAGACTATGTCTAGCACATACGGCAGAGATCTATGAATTTATTGGTGGAAGTATTCATTCCACCTGTATGAGTCACAACCTTCTATGCCCTAGCAGATTGTCATTAAGAATCACTATGGCTAAAAACAAGTAATACTCCAGTGACCAGCCTTCTGGCCTCTCTCTGAACCATCTAGGCTATCCTCAAATGGCAGACAGCCTCTCACCCAGCTGTAGCTACTCTCCTGTACTTTGGTAGGCCCAAAGATTAACAAATAGATGGGATCTTAGAAATAATCTAGTCCAATTATCAAATCTTGTAAATGAGGAAACTGAGGTCAAGTGACTTGTCCACGTTCCACACGGTCATTTTACTAAGTGGCAAAGTATAGATTGAAACCCAGGTCCTCTAACACTAAGTCCAGAATTCTTTCTATTGTGCCATGCTACTTGCTTTGAAAGTTCATTATTACTGGATACAACTCCTCTGATAATACTGTCTGAAGGATATGAATTTTCCTAAACTGGGAAGGTTATCTAGGCTGCAGGCTGAGGGCTAAGAGCCTTCCTCAGAGTAAATAATGCTGCTAAGGACAGAGCAGGATCAGCTGACTGAGACCTGATAGACAGTCAGACTGACAAGTAGCCTAGTCTCTATGGCCATGGCAAAGATGGAAATTTGAGGCCATGTCATTGCTTTGATTTCCCCCTGAGTTGCCTGATCAGCTGAAGCTTACACTTGTCTCTGAATTGTTGTGGCCAAGTTCAGTGTTGTGTGATGTATTGGTGGTGGTGGTGGTGGTGGTGGTGGTGGGGTGTGTGTGTGTGTGTGTGTGTGTGTGTGTGTGTGTGTGCGTATGTGTGTGTATGGCTTTCTCATGTGAGGCAGCATAAGGTTCAGTGGAAAGAAGATGAGACACCGGCTGTGCTGCTTTTGGACTTCTTTGGATCTCTCTATCATGCCTTCCTTCCTCAGGAAACCTATCATTGGGAAATCTCATTATCCTGTTGAGACTGAGTCTGCCTAGTTCTCACATTTCATCAATATGCTCCTCTAATTGACCCTCTGATTGGAGGGGCAGGGTCTTGAGCTTCAGGATGGGGCTCAGCATAGTTTTTCTCCACATTTCCCATCAGTTACACTGACTTTGGAACTTCACTGGAACTCTCTACCATGTCCCTGTGCTTGGCACCTTCTCCACTACTCTTCTTAAGGTTACTCTCCTACTTTTCAGCTTCCTTTTGTGTATTATCTAGAGGCAGCTAGTGGCACAGTAGATAGAGTGTCAGGCCTGGAGTCAGGAAGATCTGACTTCAAACCTTCCTCAGACAGTTACTAACTGCCTAACCCTGAACAAGTCACTTAACCTCTGTTTACCCCATTTTCCTCATCTTTAAAGTGGGGATAATAGCATCTACCTCCCAAGGTTATTGTGGGGATCAAATGAGATAAATAATTGTAAAACACTTAGCATAATGTCTGGCACATAGGTGCTATATAAATTTGTTTTTATTATTATTATTATCTTACCCTGTTAGATTGTAAGCTCATTGAGGGCAGGAACTGTCTTTGATTTTATTTGTATTTGTATTTCCTACACTTACCAGAGTGTCTGGCTTATAATAGGTGCTTAATAAATGTTTATTGATTGATTGATTTGATTTGGGAATCCAGAGCACTAAATTCTAGTCTCAGTTTGATTTGCTATGTGACTTTGGGTAAGTGGCTTTCCTTCTCTGTGCCTCCAAGATCAATATTCTTTCCCCTTCACTATAAGGTCTCCCTAAAACAGCAGTATCAGGAACTACCAGAATGTCTTACCCACCTGGATAGGAGTCACTTTCATTTCATCATATCCAAAGTTCTTAAAGTGGGACAAGGAAATTCCATATCGCAATAAACCTTAAGCAAAGCACATGTGTTTGAGTAGGAGAAGAGGGCCATCCCCAGGAATCCACCATTTGCATTTTAGGAATCTCGGATTCTTAGGACAGGCCCTGAAAGTTCCACAGTGGAGGTATCCTCACTCCTACCAACGTGGGCCTCCCTGACACCCTGCTCTCCCAGCTTCCCAGGACCCTTCTCTCCCTATTCATTCCTTTGAGCAGCTCATGAGAAAGGCGCCACCTTTTGATATCTTTTTTCTGTTTCAAGCCCCTTGATGACTCCCCATGGCCTACAAGATAAAATCCTCTACCTTTGCTTGATCTGTTCCCTATGGAATCTCCTTTCTCTCCCTTTTCCACTGTGGGATTCCTACCCCTCCTTTAAAACCCAACTCAAATGCATATTCTGTAGGTAGGTCTCTGATCTCTCCTTCCCCCTTCACCATTTCATAAAATATATTCTTCCTGAAATGTCACTTAGCATCTTATTTGACCCTCTAATGCACTTATATAATAAATATTGCATATTGTAGCTATCTAGCTTTGCATTTTATTCCATGCTAAACTATGAGTTCTATAAGGAGAGGAATTATATCTTAATGCTATTTATCTGCCTTAATACCTAGGACAAGGCCCTGTGTACAATATGCACTTAATAAGTATTGATTGGCATTTGAGGCCTTCAAAATCTGGTACAATCTCCCTCCATCCATTTATTTCCAGCTTTAGGTCCCAATTACTTGACCTACAACCATTATGCACACATTCTTGCCTCCTGGCCATTGCTCAAGATGTTCCCCTCCCACTGTTCCTGCTTTCTCTCTAACGCTACCCATCCTTCAAAGTCCAGCTAACATCTTGCCCCCTCCAGGAAGCCTTCTCTGACTACCTTGGCCATGACAGGCTTAACCTCCTCTGACCACCTTGAGTGGCTATGCTTACCATTCTGGTTTGGCAACAACACAGCGAGTAAGATTTCGTTTATCACGTTTCCCATAAGTTCAGGCTGCAACAAAAAAAAATGAAGCCTTGCACTCCTGTCCATGCAGTGTTTCTTCTCCATAGCCCTGTAGGCTTCAGATAATCCCAGAGGAAACAGGCAAGAGAGAATATGTATGAGGGATTTGATGGGGTGGGGAGGAGGGGACAGTGGATGACTCAATGAAGCTTATCCCTACTGCTAAGTAGAACAACTTAAATCTTGTGTCCTGTGGTGGGTAAGGGAGAAGATCATATATGAAAGTTGGTACATTCCTACTGTTGGTGGTGAGGAAGTTAGGAAGCCTTAATGGTGGTCCCAGGGCAAGGAGGAGGGAGAGAACAGAAGATGGCACCATCATAGGCTTTGTCAGGCTTCCTACGTTGTTCCACTGCCCCTGGCATATAGATGTGGCCTAAGAAGAGATCTCTCCTAGGAGTCCAACCCAAGAGAGGAAATGTCTGTAAATTCTTCTTGGATTACCCTAGTTCAGGTGCTGCCTCCTCCACAAAGGCTCTGATCCCTTCCTGGGGAGGGGATTTCTCATAGCCTTTGGACTGTCCTGTCTTTTGTCCTCATCATACTCTACCTTGTAAATGCTCATTTGTGCATACATAGTATAGACTATAGGCTCCTTAAATGGCAGAGACCATGCCGTTTCGTATGTTTGTGCAGCCCAGTACCAACCACATAGTCCTAAACATAGTAGACACTTAGATGTTTGTTGTTTTGAATTGAAGTCATGACCTTGGCCTTGGGAATCATAGACTGTCAGAGAATACAGGGTCCTTAAAGATCTATCATATAAGTGAATTAGAGGTTCAGACAAGGTCCTAAATGACGTTTGAGGGAGAACATAGAGATCTAGTGGTCTAAGTGTCTTATCTTAGCAATGGTGACACTATGACCCAGGGAGGAACGCTCCCAACTTCACTGAGGCCAAATGTCCATGAGTAATGTGAGCCAGCTTGATGAGGAGAGGAAAAGCCCTGCCCGGGAAGAGTTGTGGGTTCAAATCCCAACATTTGGACAGACTGATCTGGGTCTGTGTGTCCTTAGACAAGTAGCTCTCTTTATCTGGGGCTCAGTTTTTCCCTACCTTAACTTCCCCTCCCCACCTCATGACCCAGATAAAAGTCCCTTTGGCAGAAAGCTGACCATCAGCTTCCCACACTTAAGAAGTCACCATAATTTGACCTGAGAAGTCCAGGACCTGGGACTGGCTGATAGAGACTCAATTAAATGACCTCTAAGATACTTTCCAGATTCAATGGTTCATGCTTTTTACTCTAAGTGGAGAATATAGACGATGGTTTACGTAAGTCAGACCTAAAACCCCGTCCAAGAAGAAGTACTCTTGTTTGTTCCTGTTCTTAGCATTTGGATGATGGTCAGCACTCAGGACTTGGGTTGGAATGGAATTAATCCAGATGCATGGTCCCCAGGACCTGAAGTGCCTGGGTCATATGATGTCTGGAAAAAGCTGGTCTTAGACAATCATGGAGACTTCTGTGTTTTCCTTGAATGAGTCCATTTTTAGGGAAAAGGGATTGTGTCCCACTGTGACTCCAGCCCAAGCTTTCCCTCCAGTCTGATGGACGCTGGACCTAACACTGACCAAATCAAAGACTTACGCTGAACAAGCCTGTTTCCGAGCTCATCAGCTGGATTTGATCAGAGCTGTAACAGAAGAGCCAATGTCAGGATGATCTTTGAGGACGGGAACTATGACTTATTTAAATTTCCAATGCCCCTCAACACCTAATACAAGGATTTACAGAGAGAAGGTATTTAATAAAGGTTTGTTGGATGAACAAATGAGTGAGTGAAGTTTTATGTTTTTACCTGATTCCACTGAGGTTGAGAAAGAGTCTGTTCCCTTTAGTGTAGAACTGACCTTCAGAGCGGGCTTCCTGTAAAAAAAAAAAAGTCATCATAATTTGACCTGAAAAGTCAGAGACCTTGAGTGAAAGCAACTTTTTAAAAATAGGAGTTTAAGGGGCAGCTAGGTGGTGCAGTGGATAGAGTACTGGCCCTGGAGTCAGGAGGACCTGAATTCAAATCCGGCTTCAGACACTTGACACTTACTAACTGTATGACCCTGGGTAAGTCACTTAACCCCATTGCCTAGCCAAAAAAAGACAAAAAAAAAAACCCAAAACAAATAAAAATAGGAGCCTAAGGGGCTAATGGAGCAGGGGATAGCTTCTGTAGGAGACTAAGGCAAAGGTCAAAAGTTCAAGTACCACATCAAGAAGTCAGCTCCTATCCTGTCTTCAGAGGAGTTAATGGTCATAGAGGCATTTTGTAGAGTGGTAAAACAGAAGGAATCTTAGATTTAGAGTCAGGGATCCTGAGTTCGAATCCTTACTATTTTAATTACTGCTTATGTGACCCTGAACAAGTCACTTTACCTCTCTCAATTTCCTCATCTGTCAAATTATGGGAGTGGACTAGTCAACCTCTAACATCTCTCTTCAAGCTCTGCCATGACTGAGGGCCATACTACTTACGATGCTCAAAGTGAAAAGAGGCTGGGTGGCTTGGTTGGTAGCAAACACCTGAAACACAACCAGCTGGGCTACACTGGCACTGCCAGCTTTCAGGCAGATATGTGGATGGTGCCGGGTGAAGATCTTCACAATCTGAGTTGGTCCCAACTGTACGGAAGCCTAGATAATGATAACAACTCATGTACATCTAGACTCTTTCAGTTTCTACAGCCCTTCTTCACAACAACCTGGTGAGGTATATAGCACGTGAATTTATTATCGCCCTTTGAGAGATGAGTCAATTAGGGCCCAGAGGAAAAATGACTTAATTTTCCTTATAATCCTCTCATTGGGTACATAGCCAGTCTATGAGGAATGCAGGACAGGGGTATGATTATTTCCATTTTGCAGATGTGGAAAGTGAGACTCAAAGTAGGGTTCCATAAGGATAACTCTATACCCTAGAGATGGGTAGCTCCAGGGACCAGGATCACTTGAAGCAAGCCTGGAAACATCACTTTTAGAGGGGAGGGTACAAGCTTAGGACACAAGGAACAGGAAGACAAACTGTGGGGTAGTACAAGGAGAAGACTTGGAAGATTGGGGAAAGGGAGAATATGTTGGAGAATATGTTATTTTCTCTACTAGTTTGGGGACTATAGCTGACTTTTGATTTGTTACATAAATGTACAGGTGGAGGAGCCATGGATACTCCTTCTACCTCTCCTCACCCCAGTACACAATCCAAAATTTCTGAAGGGAAAATTTAATTAACTGCTGCTCTCTCATCTGAAAACCCCCACTGAGTGCATTTGTTCTGCTAACTTTGGTTTCCAGAAGAGGAAAAAAATGAAAAAAGCAAATAAAAATCGAGCTGATCTATAACGGAAAGAGCACTTGGTTTAGAATTGAAGGAAATGAGTTTGAATTTCAGCTCTCCAGCTGTGACCCTGGACAAGTCATTTCTCCTCTCTGGGCCTCAGTTTCCTTATCTGTAAAATGAAAGGGTTGGACTAAAGTATCTCTACCATCTCTTCTAATGCAGATAGTTTATGTTCTAAGAGTTCTTCCAGGATCAAACCTTCTACTCCTAGTTAAAAAACAAAAACAGCTCAAGAAAGGTTGGGTTTATTTAAAATCCTCTCCCCTTTTCCATCTGCAGTCTCAGCCTAGATGGAAAGATCTGGGCTCACAAAGATGGTTCTAGGAGCCTCCAACAGGAAACAACAAACATTTCTATATCATTCTTCAACTCCAGGGTATAAGAAGAAAAAGTGGACTCCAAATCCCTTTTTCATTACAGAAAACTCTCCCTATGGCAACTGAATTCCCAAAATCACCCTGTTCTGTCAGAGATATTTTTCCTCCCATCATTAATGGAGATTGAACTTTAATTGCTGCCATATATCCTAGTTAGGTTGAAGGCCTCTGGGATTACAATTACCTAGATGACAAGTCACTACTTTGCATTTATTTGGAAGGCAGGCTAATAGCTGCATTTAAACTCAACTTCCTTCTTCTCTAGTTCACTCATTCCTGCCTAGTGGTTTTCCTTCAGCTTCCCAAACTATCGTCTATACAATACCCATCATTATGATAAAGTAAAAAGAACCTTGGATTTGGAATCAGGTGGCCCAAGCTTGCATCCTGGATTGATCCACCATTTTAGTGCTAGCTCTTTATAAACCTTAAAGTGCTAAGCAAATGCTAGCCATTATATGAACTTGGGTAAGTCACTCCCCCTCCGCCCCCAACTCTCTCTCTCTCTCCTCTCTCTCTCTCTCTCTCTTCTCTCTCTCTCTCTCTCTCTCTCTCTGTCTCTCTCTCTCTGTCTCTCTCTCTCTCTGTCTCTCTGTCTCTCTCTCTCTCTCTCTCTCTCTCTCTCTCTCTCTCTCTCTCTCTCTCTCTTTCTCTCTCTTATCTAACCCTCAATTTTCTCAACTATAAAAGGTGGATGATACTTTATTTGTACTACCTACTTCACAGGGCTACTATAAGGAAAATGTTTCATTTTTTACAGCCAATATCTGCTGTCCTTTGTCACTTCTACCAACTGCTCTGCTCCTAGTTCCACCCTCAGTACAATCCTTCTCCTTCTTCTTCATGATACCCCTTCAGAAATTGGACGTCACTGACTGTCCTTGAAGTCTTTCCTAACTTCCTTCCTTTCCTCCCCTTGACGTAGCTAAACACCCCTAGTTTTTATAACTATTCCTCATGTAACTATGGCTCATCTATGTCATACCAGCCAGCACAGGTTAAGCTAATTTGTATCTATTCTTCGATCTATGAACCAATGTGTGTGTGTGTGTGTGTGTGTGTGTGTGTGTGTGTCTTCAGAGACAATGGTCATCCCTCTGAAAGCTTTGGTGGACAGCAAATCTTCTGGAGAGGGAAGCAGAGCTGAGAAGATACTGAGCCCAGAGAATGGGGTCACAAACATCCCATTAGAAGGATATCTTAGACAGTAACAGTTGGTTTGACCCTAGGCTCCTTGAGCCAGTCCCTTCAGGGAGCAACTGCAGACAGACAGACACTTTACTTAAGAGATGTGGGAAATGATATAGAGAATAGACTAACCTTTGTGTTGATTTGATTGAGGACTGATTTCAGTTGATGAGCCAACTCAGGAAACTAAGGATAAAAGGAGACCAAAGCTTGTTAGAAGTTGAGTGATACCAGAAAACTGCTTTACTGATTGTATGACCTTAGGAAGTCCCTTCCTCTCTCTGGGCCTCAATTTCCTCATCTATAAAATGAGGGTAAGATTCTCTAAGGTGTCATCTAATACTCAAACTTATGGCAATAATGAATTAATGGATGAATTGGAATGGAATAGAAAATAGAGAACAGAAAATCAATTTTTCTGTTACAATGAGATCAAGGAGATAGTATTCTGGATAGTTCCCCATTTTTGGAGCTAGAGATAGTTCATAGGATAAGAGTTAGAAGGCAACTCAAGGGTTGTATGGTTCAAACCATATACAAACATGAATATTTCCAAGGCATACTCATCCACGCTGCTCACTCATACCACCAATCCAATGCGCAATTGTGAAGTACCGGTGCCTACTTCGTATCCCACAAGTCAGACAGTCAACAAGCATTTATCAGACATTTACTACACGTAGGGCATTGTGCTAAGCTCCAAGAAGAGGGAAAAAAAAGTTCAAACAACAGTCCTTGCTCCCAAGGAGCTCACACTATATGATAAGGAAGATAACATAGACATAAGTAGGTAGAGTAAATAGCAGGCAATCTCACAAGAGAAGGAACTAGAGCTGGAGGGACTGGAACAACTTCCTGCAGAATATAGGATTTGAGTTAATTCTCAAATGAAACTGGGGACATGAGGAGGCAGCACTTATGAAGGAGACCATTCTAAGCATGGGGGACAGCCAGTGCCAAAAGCACAGATACAGGAATGGAATGTCCTGTGTGAAGATTAGCACATAGGCCAGTGTAGTTGGACCATGAAGCATACAGAGAAGAGCCACATGTAAAAAAGAGTAATATGTAAGAAGGAATAGTGACTTATGAGAGTGGAAATAAAGGTAGGAAGCGACTTGGTCACAAAGAACTTTAAATGTGAAACAGAGGACTAGAGTTTATTGAGTGAGAGAGTTACATGGTTAGATCAACACTTTGGGAAAATCACACTGACAGCTGAGGGGAGGGTGGCCTGGAGTGGGGAGATATTTGAAATTTGAGAGCAATTAGAAGATTTGCAGTAATCTAGGTGTGAGGTGATGAGGGACTGTATACCATGGTGGTGTGAATGAAGAAAAGGAAACTTATATGAGAAATACTGGAAAGGCAGAAATAACGATAACATCAGCAATAAATGGAGAGTGAGAGTGAGGGGTTGACAATGATACTAAGGTTATAATCATGGGTTTCTAGGGGAATGATAGTGCTCTAGATAGTAACAGACAAGTAACAGACGACAGAAAGGAAAGATTTGAAGGAAAGATAATAAGTTCTGCTTTGTGCCGCTGAGTCTGATATGTGACTCAGTATGGTACAACTGGTTCAAGATGCCTAAAAGACAGCTGGTGATATAGGATATAATTCAGAAGAAAGATTAGAACTGTGTATGTGTGTGTGTGTGTGTGTATAAAATATAGAGATAGATATGAATATGGATATAGATGTTCATATATATATATATATATATATATATATATATATATATATACATACATACATATTTATAATCTGGGGATCATCTACCTTGAGATGATCATTGAAGTCATGGATACTAATGAGATCATCAAGTGATATAATATAGAAGGAAAAGAGAAGAGGACCTAGACAAACATGGAGGACAAACATGGTCACCATATGTGATATGGATGAAGAATTAGCAAAGGAAACTGAGAAGGAGTGGTCGGACAGGAGGAATAGCAAGAGAAGATGGTACTACAACAGCCTATGGGAGAGAATATATCCAGGAGGAGATCATCAATAGTGTCGAAGGCTGCAGAGAGATCAAGAAGGATGAAGAATGAGAAAAGGTCTTTAGATCTGGTAATTAAGAGATCACTGGTAGCTTTGGAGAGAGTAGTTTCAACTGAACAATGAGGTCAGAAATGAGATTTCAGATGATTTGAAACAAAATTAAAAGAGAGGAAGTGAGGGCAACAAGAATATATAGCTTTCTCAAGGAATTTAGCAGAGAAAGGAAGGAGAGGTATAGGATTATGGCCTGCAAGGAAGGTAAGTTCAAGGGAGGGTTATTAAAAGGTGGGAGAAGCTTGGGTGTGTTTGTAGGCACCAAGGAAGAAGCCACTGGACAGAGGCTGAAGATAAGAGAGAGAGTAGAAGTGATAACAGGGACAGTCTGCTGGAGAAGATGGGAGAGATGGGATTGAGAATACACATAGAGGGGTAAGGGGGCTTACCCCTCTCTGTCTGGTTCAAACCATACATGAACATGAATAGCCTCCATGGCATAATCATCCAAGCTGCTTACTCACATCACCAATTCAAGGAGCAATTGTGAATAGGTAGCTTAATGGAGAGAGCACTGAGCTTGAAGCCAGGAAGACTCATTTTCATGAGTTCAAATCAGGATTCAGACAACTGAATTTGGAGGAGTGGGGATGACATAACACATTTATAGATAAATCAATAGAAAACATAACATGGTAAATTCAAAGGGCTCTCATTGTTTGTGGAGGGAATAGTCTGATGGCAGGAGAATCAAGACAGGCTTCCTGGGGGAAGTGGCCTTTAAAGAGAGTTTTGAATGGAGCTAAGAATTCCATGACGCTCAGGTGAGAGAGGTGGACCTCTGGCCACTGGGGGCAGTCTTTGCAAAGTCATAGCAACAGGAGATTAAATGTAAGGGGAATAATAAACAATAAGACTGAAAAGGTAGATTACAGCCAGACTATAAAGGATTTTAGATGTCAAGCAGAAGAGTTTGAATTCCATCCTAGAGGAAAGAAGGGATCACTGAACATTCTTGAGCAGGTGAGTGACATGACTGAGACTCTGTTTTCAGAAAAAAAACTCACTTTGGTAATTGTGTAGAGGATGGATTGGAAAGGGAAGACCCTGGAATCTGAAAGTCCAATGAAGAGACTACTGCTGTACTCCAGGTGACAGGTGATGGGGGCCTCCATTAGGGTAGTGTCTGTGTGGGTGGAGATTAGGTGAAGGATGGATGAAATACTGTAGGAGATTTTCTCTTCCTCTCACAATGGAGGGAACTTTAGAAGGGGGTTGTCTAAAAAAAAAAGTCAGCTGTTGCAGTGGATAGAATGCTGGGCTTGGAGTCAGGAAATCCTGAGTTCAAATCTGATCTCAAGGTACTTACTAGCTGTGTGACCTTGGGCAAGTCATTTAGTCTGTTTGCCTCAGTTTCTTCAAGTAGAATGTGGGGATAATAATAGCACCTATCTCCCAGGGTTGTTATGAGGATTAAATGAGATGATATTTGTAAAGAGCTTAGTAAGTGATTAATATATCCTCATTTTCTTCCTTTTACCAGATGGAAAGTTGAGATGGATGCTCTTTTAAGTCTCCTCAAACTCTTCGATGCTCTGATTGCACCCACACATCGTAGGCAGCCCATCCATAAGGCGGGACTTCCTTACCACAGAGTCCAGAAGAACTGTTAGCTCCCCCGAGGGCAGCAGTGCCTCAATGATGGTGTTCACCACATTCTGTCTCACTATGAAATTTAACCCAAAGTCATCCAACCTGGACAATGTCAGAGAGCTCAGAGAATCATTGAAGACCTTGATCAGCTTTCCTGCTGGGTCCTGAAACTTAACCTGGGGAGATATATGGGAAAGAGGAAGCTGTGAGAGTATTCTGTTCATGCAGCCTTCTCAGTCTAAGCTCTGACTGCATCACTGGGTAGGAGAACATGGCTGGCCTAGGACTTTCTGCTCCCTGCATTACCAATCAGAAACCCACAAGTATGCTATGGGGGCAGCTTTAGCTACTAGGAGCCTCAGAGCCAAGCTCACGCCCAAGTTGTAATGATGAGTTGATCAGGAGAGCCCTTTGGCACTCAGGTGTTTTTCTCTGCAAAATGAAAGCATTGGACTAGATGATCTATGATTCACTCCAGCTCAAGTATTCTCCATTCTAAGGGTTCCTCTAGCTTTGACAGCCTATATTCTAGTTTTAAGGACTCACTCAGTTCTAACATTCTATGATCTGCATTCTAAGGTCCTTTCCAACTCTGACAATATGTTCTTTTTTTTCCTCTAAGACAGGAAAAAAAAACCCCAAGCTATTCAAGGGGGCCTGAATCTAGATAATCTCTAAAACTATCAAGAGATAATGTGGCTTGGCGTTCAGAGTGTTCCTTAAAGTCAGGAAGGCCTGGGTTCAAGTCTCATTTCTGATACATTGGTAGTGTGACTTCGCACAGGTCACAGCCTTCCAATGCTCTAGGAAACTCTAAGGCTTTCAATTATAGAGAAGGTACTATCGCTATATCAATGATATCATAGTTCTAATTCTGCTTAGATGGAAATAAAGTTGAATAGAATATAGTTCTATCTATCTATCTATCTATCTATCTATCTATCTACTATCTATCTATCTATCTATCTATCTATCTATCTATCTATCTATCTATCTATCTATCTATCTATTTCTAGTCCCCAGTGTAGAAATAGCCTAGAGGTGAGGAAAATGCAAACCTTAGAGTGAGTGGTTAGCCCCAAGCTGGAATGGTACTGATCACACATTGCCTCCAAGAACAGTGAGCCTGAGGGGTGAGGAGACTTGTTCTGGACAGCTCCAACATCTTTTTAGGGCTTTAACAAGAGCCAGAATCTAGAGGACTTCTGAGCTTTATTCAATATGCACATCATCAGCCCCCTCACCCTACCCAGGAAGACACACTGTCTCCTTAAAGACTTTTAAGGGCTGATCTATAAGTTCTCTCTTTGATGGGCTAAAATAAGCATATCAATGATTATCAATTGGCAGCCATACTCACTTTGAGATCCAGCTCAAAGTTGCTATCCACAACTGAAGATGACAGGACCTCAAAACCCAGGGAGCTGGATCCAATTGGCACTAGCACTGCAAGAGGATAGCAGAATGTTTGCTAAAAATACACAGCATGCTACATATAAAATATACTGGATAATAGTATGAAGTATTGGAAATAGATACAGGCTAAGGCGCTTTGAGAGGGCAGTGTCTCTAAGGCCCCTTAGAATTCTGTCATTCTGTATTTTAAGGTTCCTTCTAGTTCTGACATTCTATTTTCTAAGGCCCCTTCTAGCTCCAACATTCTGGGTTCTCTTTCCATCTCTGACATTCTTTGGCTTTATGGTTAAGATGTTTAAGGACTGCTCCTTTGAGATGAGAGCCTGATTAACTCTGTTAAGTCTGTTAATAGCCCTGCAAGACCACTGCAGGAACAGGGAAATGTGAAAGAAGGAAAGAAAGCGAGAGAGAAAAGCAAAATTGTGGCATCTTGTCTTAAAGAGCTTAGAATGTAATAGGGAGAGATTGGACAAAAAGCCAGGCCTATTCCCCTGTCGTTTAAAAGTCTCCACAGTCTACTCTCAAACTACCTTTCCAGCCTTATCTCTCTTTTCTGATACGAAACTTCTGCTCAAAAGTGCCACCTTATTATACCATCCCCACCAGTAGCTCCCTGTTGTTTAGTTATTTCAGTTGTGTCATTCTCTTGTGACCCCATTTGGGGTTTTCTTGGCAAAGATATGGAGTGGTTTGCCATTCCTTCTCCAGATCTTTTTACAGTTGAGGAAACTGAGGCAAACAGGGTTAAGTGACTCGCCCAGGGTCACACAGCTAATAAATGTCTGAGGCCAGATTGAACTCAGATTTTCTTTACTTCAGGCCTGCAGCTTTATCCACTCTGCCACCTAATTGCTCTCAAAGGTGTCCACCTAGGTACTTTTTTGCTCTATTCCCTCACATACGGATGCCTTTCCTCCTTATCTCGAACTCACCCAAATCTAATCCATCCTCCAGATGCTCAGCTAAGGTTCTATCTTCTCTAGGAAATTTTACTTTGTCCCAGTCCGTAGGCAGGACTAGATGCTTTCTAGAGTCCCTTCCGGATCTAAAATCCTATAGTTTCTCTTTGCCTGAACTCCTCCAGCTTCCTTCCTTTCTGTCTTCCTTGCTTCCCCCTTTCCTTCTTTCTCTCTCTTCGTTGTCTCTTTCTTTCTTCCTTCCCTCTCTCCTTTTTCTTTCTTCTTTCCTTTCCTCCTTTTCTTTCTTCCTTCCCTCCCTCCCTTCTTCCCTCCCTCCTTCCTTCCTTCCTTCCTTCCTTCCTTCCTTCCTTCCTTCCTTCCTTCCTTCCTTCCTTCCTTCCTTCTTCCTTCCTTCCTTCTCTCTCTCTCTCTCTCTCTCTCTCTCTCTCTCTCTCTCTCTCTCTGTCTCTCTCTCTTTCTCCTTTGTCTGTCTGTCTCTGTGTCTCTGTCTCTCTCCTTTTGTCTATCTTTATCTCACTCTGTCTCTCTCTCCTTTGTCTGTCTGTTTTTGTTTCTCTCTGTCTCTCTCTCCCCCTTGTCTGTCTCTGTCTCTCCCCCTTGTCTGTCTGTCTCTATCTCTCTCTCACTGTCTCTCTCCTTTATCTGTTTGTCTCTATCTCTGTCTTTCCTTTGTCTCTGTCTGTCTGTCTGTCTGTCTCTGTTTCTCTCTGTTTCTGTGTCTCTCTCTCTGTCTGTCTCTTTCATTGAAGGGTCAGGTCCACATAGCAGCTTAAAGAGTGACGTACCACCCCCATGTGGTCAGGATGAGAATGGTACCAAAGACCTTGGTTAAGTCTACAATCAACAAATGAGAACAGTTGACCCTATACTCCTATACATTTCCTTACTTCAAGAAGGCAGCTGTATTTCGGTGATTCCCCTCCCCATCTAGGCTACCTTTCAGTCTCTCCCACACTGCCCAGTAATGGTATCTAGATTTTACTTCTCTGAATCTCAGGCTCCTCATTTGTAAAATAGTGATTATAGTAAGTGTACCAATTGTAAAAGTTTGGTTGAGAAGGAAGTGTTTCGCAACTGTAAAAGTGCTAAAGAAATGTAATTTTTTTTTTGAGGGGAAGGATATACAGATCCCTGTGATTTAGTAGGTGTAGGAATGCAGAATGGCAACTTGGATGTAATTCATAGCCTTAGAGTTTTGCTTGAGGAGTTAAGTGACTTGACCATAGCCTTGTGGTTTGTATGTGTCAGAGGCAAGACTTGAATCCAGGTCTTTCTAACCCTATGGTCCTACTTTATTCCTTATGGCAGGATGCATATCTCTACTGATGATGCTGCTGGTGATGGTGATGATGGGACAGTATGGTATAGTGGAAAGAATACTGGTGTGACAAGCAGAAGACCTGGGTTCAAATCCTACCTCTGCCACTTTCTACCTATGTAATCTGAAGTAAGTCACTTCCCCTCTCTGGGCCTTAGTTTCCTCTTCTGTTTTTTTTTTCTTGGTTTCTTTTTGGTGAAGCAATCAGAGTTAAGTGACTTGCCCAGGGTCACACAGCTAGTAAGCATCAAGTGTCTGAGCCCAGATTGGATTTCAGGTCCTCCTGACTCCAAGGCCAGAGCTCTATCCACTGTACCACCTAGCTGCCCTCAGTTTCCTCCTCTGTAAAATGAGGAGGATGACTCCTCACATCACTTCTGGCTCTAGATGTATGAGCCCTAAGTGAAGCTAAATACTATTGCCCTCTAACCTCCACCCATTGCTCCAAGTTCTGGCCTCTGAAAGCAAGCAGAACAAGTCTGACCTCTCTGCCCTGTGACATCAGAACCCTCTGGGAAGGGTGGGGAGAAGACCTTTCTCTCTGATTCCTACTAACTCTGCATCGGGCAGATGGAATGAATGGAATGAGGGATCAACGTTCAATGGAGTCTTCATGATTACCCCGGGGCTTTATGAAGGGTTCAGCTCTAGGTAGTTGACAATGCTTCATACTTTTCCAACTTCCCTTGTTCTCTGCTTATTGAAATCCATCCTTTCCTTCAATGCTTGTCAGGTGCCTTCCCTAATTTCCTCTCTCCCTCCAGCTTAAAGTGATCTTTCCTCGAGTTTCTTACTGCATTTTGTCGGTATCTCTCCTTGGCACATACATCCCACTTCAGTATTTCAAGAATTTTGTTGGATTTCGTTGGTATGTGTCCTCCCTTCTCTGCTGACCCAGTCTCTAAACTCTACCTTTTTATTAGACAGTTTCCATTCCACACAGAGCACAAGAGGAAAACCATCAGAGTCTCACGTCCAATTTTGTTGTATTTATCTGTGTCTATGTCTTACTCCTCTACTGAACTGGAAGGTCCTTGACAGCAGGAACTGCATCTGAACCATCTTCGCACCCAAATGCCCATGACAGAGTCCTGTACATGGCATGTATTTGTCAAATTGAATTCCCAGAAAATGGAATATTTCTTTCTCTTTCAACCTAATTATACTGCCTAGAAGCCTCCAGGCTTCTGTCTTCTCTATAATTTCTCTGAAGAATTTCACATGACCCCAGAACTTCCAAACCCTTGAGTTTCTAATACTACCCTGCCCTATGTTCATTTAGAGTTGATTGCAGTATCTGAGTCTTTTTCACAGCACTGCAAATTCCGCAGTGGGAATGGGCTCTGATATTTCTCTAATAAAGGCTCTGGGTGACCATAGGCAAGCCATTTGTTCTCTCATTACTTCAGTTTCTACATTTGTAAAATAAGATTAATAGCACTTGACCCATCCACTCCCCAAAATAGTGAGGAAAGGGCTCTACAGATCTTAAAGCCACACTAGAAATAGGAGTATGCATGAGAAGTACTGGGCACACAGTAGTCACTCAATAAAGATGAAAGTGGCTGACCTGGGGAGGGCTCCCCTCCTCCCATCCACATCCCTAAGGTTTATAGCATGCTGCTCAGCCCAAGTGGCAGAAAATAGAACTCATTTGACAAGGGAAGAAAACATGAAATGCCTAGAACTTACAGGTTGACCAAGCATAGATTTTGGAAGTCATGCTCTTAAAGGCCTTTTCAATGACTGGGCATACCTATAACAACAAAAATTTTGGATTTCAGTGGAAGCTTAGTGAGAGCACCAAGCACTGCTATCAGCCTGGCCTACTAATTTATGCAATCTCCCATGCAGATGTGAGATTTGTTTGAGGAGTTATGTTAGTGTTAGTGTTAGTAAGGGGAAGGAAGGAAGGAAGGAAGGAAGGAAGGAAGGAAGGAAGGAAGGAAGGAAGGAAGGAAGGAAGGAAGAAGGAAAAGGAAGGAAGGAAGGAAGGAAGAAGGAAGGAAGGAAGGAAGGAAGGAAGGAAGGAAGGAAGGAAGGAAGGAAGGAAGAAGGAAGGAAGGAAGGGAGGAAGGAAGGAAGGAAGGAAGGAAGGAAGGAAGGAAGGAAGGATTTGATAAGCTAAAACTTAAGTCAGAATTGAGACTTAGATAGGACCTCATTGGTCATCTAGTCCAACCTATATACCAAAGGAATGCCCACTATGACATACCCAGAAAGTTACTCAAAAATCTAGCCTCTTAAATGGAGGAGAAGGGAACTCATCACCTCTTGACGCTGGTGATTTTGCTCTTGGACAGTTCCAGTTGCTAGGAAGTTTTCTCTGACATCTAGTCTAAATTTGCCCCTGTAACTGCTACCTATTACTCTTGATTCAGCCTACTGGGGCTAAACAGAGGAAATGCAATCCCTCCTCCACATGCACCCTTTCTAATATTTGAAAACAGTTATTAGTCAAAGAAGAGCAATTGGGCATGATGAGAAAGCACATTGAAAAAGTCTGTGCAATTTCGAGTCAATGACAACATTGGATTCAACCTACAAAAATTTAGTTTACACACAACTTTTCAGCACAGTGTAACATGACATTGCTTCACATAAGACAGCCCAACAAAGGAGTTATAAGATGGGAGTTGTTTTGTAGTAAAGCACAATATGGCTACAAAGGAGGCAAAGGTCAGGTTGTAACTCTCTTCTTGAGCAAGACTTTAGGTTGCTGTCTGACCCACATGATTATTGGCAGTCCAAGTATACCTCGGAGTTGGGTGGGAACTTAGAGGGCATCTAGTCAACCCCAGTCGGAAGTAGGAATCCTGTCTAAAAACATCCCTGACAAGCAATTAACCAAGCTCTGTCTGAAGACCTCCAGCAAAGAGGAGGCCAATACCTCCTGAGACAATCAGCTCCACTTTGAGACAGTGTTGATTGTTAGGAAATTTTTACAATGAGCTGAAATCTGATTCCCCTGGGGCTTCTATCCATTGCTTCTACTTTTACCTCCTAGAGCCAAGCAGCAACGAATGAAGGAACAAACACTTATTACAATATTATAGGCCAAACTCTGTGCCAAGTGCTGGGAATACCAATAAAAATCAAGAGACTCCTTGCCCTTAAGGATAATTTAAGGAATTCTTAATCTAGGGTTCATAGACTTGGTGCTTTGGTTTTGTTTAATTTTATATTTTAATTATTATATCTTAATGTAATTGATTTGCTTTGAAATCTTGCATATTTTATTTTATGCATTTAAAAACATTCAAAGAAGGAGTCCATAGCACTTGCTGGACTGGCAAAGAAGTCCATGACACAAAAAGGTTAAGAACCCCTGGTCTGATATCTCTTTACCACGATAGCCTTCCTGATGTTTGAAGACAGTGCTCATACCAATCCCTAAGTCTTCCTTTTTTTCCCCAGCTGAAACAAACATGGTCAAATTGGATTCACTAACTCATTACCCAAGTTCAGTTCTCGCAACTGAAATGACTGCTTGTTCCTGAGAATGGCCCAGTCACTGCCACTGTAGAGCAGAGGTCACTAGGTCGGTTACTGGCATGAATGGATTCCCATAATGCTATGCTCTCCCACCCATAAGGAAAAAGCATTACACTCACATCATTTTTCACTAACATAGGCAGTGCTGGCATCAGGACATCGATGACCTGGCTAGCGAAGAAGTTGATTGCAAAAGAGAACCTGCCCAAAATAAAACAGAGAAATATGAAAACCAACAGTTATATATATATATCACAGCTATAATAGTATCAAATGATGCTTCTACTTAAATAGAAACACTCTGTAATGGTGTTGGTGTGGAGACTTTGTCCACTGATATAGATCGGTTAGCAAGAGTTCACATTTATCTAGAACTTTAAAGCTTATATACATGATTTCACTTTATCCTCCCAATACCCCTTTGAGACTGATGCAATTGTTATCTTTGTTTTATAGATGAAGATGGTTGGGCAGCAGAAGTTGAATCTTGCTTAGACTTATGCAACTGCTAAATGTTTGAGGTAGAATTTGAACCCAGCTTTTCCTAAATCCATGTCCTGAGCCCTACCCACTACTCCACATTGCCACATCTATAACTTAATAAAAGGTCTTTGTGGGTGGCCGTGGCCAGAAAAACACCATCAACTCAAGACTCACTGGGTGATAAATTTCTTTAAACTTTATAAGCTGGTCCTTGGACAAGAGATGTACAATCCATTACCTGGCCATTATGGAAACATTTCCAGATTGGTAGGATCTGTAAGAACCTGTGTTTCTCTAAAACAGTCTTTAAGAACTTAGGGTTGCTGCCAGGTTATGATAAAACATAGGAATAGATTTTAGTGGAGTCTTTACATATAATATTACTTCACATATGTACAAATAGTATATATTACACAATATGAATACATATACATGGATATAAACACACATACCTATTAACTTATATATACTAATATGAAAAGAAGCAGCATGCTATATTGGATAGAAAGCTGACCTCTGTTCTGAATTCTCTCCTGGAGTCAGGAAGACTCATCTTCCTGAGTTCTAACCTGGCCTCAGACATTAACTGTGTAACTCTGAGCAAGTCACTTAACCTTGTTTGCCTCAGTTTCCTCATCTGTAAAAATATGCTAGAGAAGGAAATGGCCAATTGGCGTCTTTGCCAAGAAAACTCCAATGGGGTCAGAAAGAGTTGGACAGTTCAAAACCACCACCACCACTACCGCCACAACAACAAAAGCCAGTAAAGGAAGTGGGGAAGGGGTTACTAGAGGGGAAGGAGGAGAACCAACCAAGTTGTGCTATCTTTAAAAGCAAGAGTAGTTTGTACAGTAGTGTCAAATTCCAATAGAAATGGGGCCACTAAACCTTACATAAGGGTCCCTGCATATTGACTTAGAAAACCACACATTAACATTATCTGTGTTCTATTGCATCTTTATTTATTTTGTTAAATACTTGCACACTTTATTTTATTCAGGAAGTATATCCATTCAGGCATGTTTGTCATCTCTGTTCTAGTAAGGTGAAATGGTCACATGGGTCAGAAAAGCTATAGCAAGGTAAAAAAGCATGAGGACTGAATAAAGAAGTCATTGAAAATGTAAAAAAAAACATCAAAAGACTTCAAAATTTTGAGGAGCATAGGGTTTAGTTGTGATTTCAGAAGACTAATGGGTCATGTAGCATGCTTCTCACCTACTGGCAAAGAAATTATAGATTTTAGATGTAGAATGGGGCATGCATTTAAAAAATGGCCAAAATGTCAATTTCCTTATTTGCTATAAGGGAAGGTTCTTTTTTTTTGGGGGGGGGGAAGTGAGGTGCTGTTGAGGAATGGGGTAGTCATGGGGAACTGAAAGCAATGTAAACAAAGGAGTATCAACAAAACATTTTTAAAAGACCCCTGAACCTAAGCAGATCTGAATATTTTATCCGTTTTTGGCCATTGCCAATATCTGCAGTGGGGCAGCTAAATGGTACCGTAGATAGAGCACTGGGCCTAGTGTCAGGATGATCTGAGTTTAAATCTGACCTCAGACACTTACTATCTGTATGACCCTGGGCAAGTCACTTAATCCCTATTTGCCTCGGTTTCTCATCTGTAAAATGGAGACATACTGGAGAAGAAAATGATAAATCATTCCAGTATCTTTGCCAAGAAAAACCCATGGACTAGTCCATGGGGTCACAAAGAATTGGACCCCACTGAACAACATCTGCAGAAGTCTCAGGAAAATGAACTTTCTGCTACTACAGAAAACAAATAATCACATTTCCTTGTGATTTAGTGAGCTAGCTCATAAAAATAGTTAAGTTGTTGTTGCTTTATTTCCTAGACATAAATTATGTTTCTCTGTCCCTATATTTATCATCTAAGGAGCCAAAGATTATCACAATCCCCAGAAATTTATCAAAAAGAGAAAGTCATTTCTACTGTCATATTAAAGGACTCCCTCCTCTCTGTTCATACTACAATCTCCTTGCCAAAGAGCAGAACACCCATACCAGAGACTATGGCCAGGATGAACTTAAGCTTTGAGGCCCCCCCTTTCCTAATTAGTGGATACCTCTTCTAGGCACTATTTCTGGAAAGTCTCAGCCATGCTTTACTTTCTTCCAACGTCTTCAGCCTCCTCCTTCAAAATGTCCTTACCCTTTTTGGAACCATGAGCCATGATCAAATTAACTTGGGCATTGCTTCTGAATGGAGTGTGTCATACTCTCTTGAGACTTTATTCACCATTCCGGATCTCCACGATTCCTCTATGAGTACGATTTCCCTGATTAGAATGTAAGTACTTGAGGGCAAGCAAATTCGCTGCTTTTGTATTTGTATCCTTAGCACTTAGCACAGTGCTTGACATGTATCAAGAGCTTAATAAAGAATGGTTCATCAATTAATTTATTCAAAGATTAGTAAAGATAAAGGAATGAGAATTAAATGAGATTATATAAGTCAAGCATTTTGCAAACCTTAATGTTACATTGTTGCTGCTTTATTACTGTTGTTATTTTTCATAGACTACTGTTGCTCTGTTCCATTGCTACTAAGGCCACTTGTCGGGAATAGATGAAGCTGTGTTTTAGGTCATTTGATGCTTCAAGCAATTTTGTGAGCACTGAAGATCTGAAAAAATGTAAATCATATTTTCCTCCAGAACTTTTTCTGTTTATTATAAAAACTGTGTGTCTGGATAATTAAAATATATACTTGTCTAATTCAACTTATCAAAATTGTTCCTAATGGCTATTTGATGTTATTAATACCTTCAGAAGTTTGCAGGTTTTTGTTTCCTCCCAAAAGAACCAAGAATTCATTGATTAGAAGAAAAACTGAACATCAGATTGCAAAAGACTTTGACAGGGCCCCAGTGATGACTTAGTGACACATCACACTTATATAAGCCTTCGCATTTTTGAAAACACTTTCCTCATAATGAAAAATAGGTAGCACAATTATTATTATTATACACATAAGGAAGTGGAAAAATGAAGAGTTAAGTAACTTGTCCATAGTTGCATAACCAGTGAGTGTTTTTGATTTGTAGTCCAATGCTCTTTAAGCTACTGCATAAATGAACATGTTTACATAGAAGAAATTTTATTTCCTTCACTCTCTCCTACCTTGCCAGGCCAATGAAAAGTGGATTCCCCAATGTGAGAGAAGAATGAGAGACCTTTGGGTTCCAATCCTTAGGGGACTCCCATAAAAAAAAAAGGCAGAAAGTCAATGTTCCTGAATGGTTCGAGAAAGAAATCAGAATCTTGAAAGAAGCATAAAAGGCAGAATTTGTGGCCTGCACAGGAGAAATAATTAACAGAAGAGAAAAACTTGAATCTAGGGTGTCAAGTCTCTTTAAAGAGGCAAAAAAAGAATAACTTATTGGGCAATACCAATCCTCTGAAGTAAAGGAATCTGGAAGGGGAACTAAAAAGCAGTAATATGAAAGAACAGTAATCTGCACATATGCAAAACAAACTGATCTCGAAGTCAGGATATGTAGAGACCACTTAGGAATCATTTGCTTCCCAGAAAAACATGGGAAGCAAAAATGCCTGAATATGATAACACAAGAAATAACGCCAGAAATGTTCCCAGAACTTCTGAATATAGAAATTCAATAACACAGAACTATTCAGCCACCAGACACTACAAACGAGAATGGAATATCACATTTCAAAAAGCCAAGGCCCTAAAGATGTAACCCAGAACGAAATACCTTGCAAACCTGAGCTTCATCAAAAATATTTGATATGCTGGAGTAGGGGCTCTGAGCTTAACTGATTAAGAGATGTTGAAATTTTATTATTTATGAGAAAATATTCAAACATACACCTGGACTGCTTTAGCACTTGTGCTGATTAGATTTATTATGGTAATTGGGCAAGTAGCCTGAGAACTTATAAGTGAAGTTAGTGCCTCCTATAAACATCTGAAACTCTAATAATATAATTCATCACATTTACATCCACAATGTGCTTCTCCATTGCCTCTTGAGTGGCCTAAAACTGTAATTCTTTGAAGAATATGTTACCACATTACTCAGAGCTATACAACATCACCGGAGATGTATTTATGGTGAAAAGATAGGCTTTTGTGTCAGCAAGAAACTTGAGGTCGTTAAAAGCACTATGCCATTCAGTCCAGTCCTCTCGCTTCCTTCAGTTCCTTTCTTGGCCAAGTCCACTTTCTTTTCACTGTCTAAGCTATATTTATGATAGACCAGCTCTATGGATTTTCTATACAATTACATATGCATTCATTATCCATTTTTTTCCCATGTGAAGAATTAGCGCTTTTTTTTTTTTTAGCTAATGTGGGTCTCCCTTAAAAGGCTCAGGAGTGTTACCAGATTCAATGTAATCAGTACAATACTATTTGCAAAGAGGAACATCTGGAGCACCTCAAAAAAAAATCTCTATTGGGTTTGGATCCCTCAACTGACATAGTAAATGACAGAAAACTTCTCTGGTGAGAGTCGTCTCTGTGTTTTATAATTCATTTGGCATCAATAATCTGAGGGTCATAACACAAATTTTATCTGCTGCTACATTTTCAATCGATCATATGATTTTAACGTATGCGTCAGATACATGCTGTTAGAGAAAAGATTTGATAGGGCATATTTTACTCTACCAAATGGAATGCTTTTTAAAAATAGTTAACAAACAAAAAGAACAATGAGATCCTATATTATTTGCCACTTTCACTCATTTTTTGTGGCTATGATGCTGTTTAACATTGTTTATGAAAGACAACCTGTTTCCTTTTCTTGACTTCAATATCCTCAATATACATGTGGAATATACCCTTATAAAATTTTGTAGAGATTGGAAGGAGATATGGACCAATCATTGTTGATTGTTTTGGGGTATAATAATAATTCTGATCCTTACAGAATAGCTGTCTTTCCTAAAGTGGGCTACCCATTAATCAACACAGTATTCCATATTTGGTTTGACCAGGGCAGGATACAATATGGCTCTTTCCTCCCAAGTCCTGAATATTATGCCTCTGCAAATGAAGTCTAGGATGAAATAGCCTTCTTGGCTGCCATACCACAATATTGATGCATCTCAAGCTTATGACTAGTCCACTTAACATCTCTTTAAATGTTTTTTTTTTGGACAAAGTGCCATACAACCATGCCTATCTCATCTCGTACTTACAAAGTTGATACTTATTTAACCAAAGTGTAAGAATGCACATTTATCTCTATTCAATTTCATCTTATGTAATTTGGAAAAAAATAAAGGTGACTCCTTTGATAAAGTAAAGAATCAAATCAGATGGATAAGAAGGTATTTTGAAGAACTATCAAGTGCTGCCTACACGTAAAAAGTTATTAGTTACTGGGGCAGCTAGGTGGCGCAGTGGATAGAGCACTGGCCCTGGAGTCAGGAGGACCTGAGTCCAAATCCGGCCTCAGACACATAACACTCACTAGCTGTGTGACTCTGGACAAGTCACTTAACCCCAATTGCTTCACATAAAAAAAAGTTCTTAGTTATTAAATGACAAATACTCACTTTTGTAGAAGAGTGACGTGTAAATTATTGGGGCTGTTGGTACACTGTCCAAGGACTACATGAGAGTTCCCTTGATAATCAGTTTTCGTATGGATTTCAGCTATGACATCAATTTCCATGTGCAGCTCAATGAGTTTGTTCATAATTATGCTAAGAAGGAATAGAGATACTCCAGGAAATTACCCTGAGCCTCACCCAATCTCCCAATAGAACTCAGCAGGCAGAACTTAGCTAAAGAGATGGCAGGAGGAAATTGGGAGCACTGAGTGTCTGCCCAGGGCAGGGAGTTGTGAAAATGCCGGGTTTGTGCCAGAAGCTGTGAAACTACTCTCTCGAGTTTATTTTCCTGACTTTCTCTTACATGTAGATTGGCTAGGTTTCATGCTCAGACCCCTTGTCATATCTATGGCTACCAGATATGCCATATCCTCAAGGACTTAAGTGAGATTGGATTTAGCCTGGGCTCAGTAACAGGGATAGAAAGCCAAGGGACCCCAGGGAAAAGGAATGGAGAGTACAGCCTTACTTCGGACAAGTGCTACTTCATTTGGCCCCCACTTTAATGAAGGAGGTGGCCCAAACCCTTGGTGGGATTACTCACGTATTAAGGGTAGCCACCATATCCAGGGGGATCCAGATCTGGAGATGACCCTGCTCAGGAAGTTGAAATGCCAGTTGGGGAATGGCAGCCTCAGTGACTTTCAGCCTGCAGTAAAGGAATGACAGTCAAGCAAGGATGAGGCCCAGGATCCTTACTCTTAGAGCCACAATGTTGTCTTGGGACCAAGGTGTCTTCCTTCTTAATGGGAGAGACGGAGTTTACACACAACTCATTCATGTACAAAAAGCATATCATGGGGGATAAATAGAAACCATAGGACCCAAGCACACTTTCTTGTGTTAGTGATTTTTAAATGGCCTTATTTCATACCTTAGTGAAAGAGAATGTCATGGAATGCCAAATGACTACTTCGTTTGATTTTTTTTTACTGAAGTAACTGAATTAGCCCTCTTGTCAGAACTGTATAGAATCCTAGAATCCTGGAATCTCTGAGACCTTAAAGGTCATTGATTCTAGAGCAAAATTTCATTAAACACACATACACACATGCACACATGTACATACAAACATACATGTATACATATACATATAAACACACCCACCCATTCTTTTCACATACATGTAGAGAATAAGAGCTAAGGTGGACAAGGTCAGGAGCTGCCTAAGGCCTGACATGCAGCAGAGTTCTTTGAAGAATACTTTTTAATTAGATTTTTTATAAATATGCATTAACATACACACACACACACACACACACACACAGTCTTGGTCTTGAGGGACTATGGGAACTGATTTTGTGCTGAATTGCCAGTTAAACTGAGGGTCTGGTTCTGGAGGAGATAGTCACACATTCAGGGTACCACATAGGGGCTTGTATGTGTATACATCTGTTTATATGTGAGAGAGAGACAGAGAGAAATAGAGAGAGAAGAGAAAGGAATAGAAAGAGAGAGAAAGAGACACAGCAAGAGTGAGAGAGACAGAGCACATAAATATGTGCTCAAGTACAAATGTCAGACTTTAATATGGGTCTCGTCCTGTTGATGCTACATAAACCCCTCATCCCCAACTTTCCCTTCCTCACTTCATGCATGCACTTTATCTCTCTGACATACTCTCGCACACTTTCTATCACACACACATGGGATCATACATGAAGATGTACATTTAGACCTCCTGGATTATCCAGTTCCACTCTATTTTATAGATTGAGAAACTGAGGCCCAGAATGTTTAAGAGGCTTGAACCCAAGTCCCAGGACTCTGAATCCAGGGCTGTTTGTACTGTTTTCTCTTTGTTCCTGGTTCAGCTAGACTCTAAGCTCCTTAAGAGCAAGGTACCTCCCTGCTTAGCACAATACATAGTGTATAGTACTTAATAAATATTATTGAATTGAATTGAATCAACTAATTGTTATTGTAAATAAGTGACATTGAAATCTTTCCCTCCAGAGACTGAGTCATATCAGGATGTACTTGGTGTCACCCAATTGCTCACCATGCAATCTGCTTCAGAAAACCACTGATGACGCCTCCAATCAAGGGCATCTCGCTGAATTGATTCTTTCTCATGGCTTCATAAAGAGGCAAATCTTTTAGGATCTGAATAGCATTCTGATTTATAAGTTCCTGGGAAAAAACTGAAAAAAGAATTCCTTGAAATCATAATTGCTATGTCTGTAGAAATATATGATTTATGAAACACTTTCCTAAAAATTTAAAAAGAAAATTCTTTGAGGTAAGTAGTACAAGTATTATTGCCATTTTACCCAAGAGGAAACTTGGGTTTGGGGGCTCAATAGAGTATCAGAGAACTTCCTGTGTGCTCAGCTGATGGACCACCGTGTCTCCTGAGCAGAGCTGTAACTAGGATATAGCTGCTGGAGTCTTGTACCAGAACATCTGCATCCAGGGAAGTGCACTACTTTCCCAAGGGAACACGCTTCCTCCTTTTGGCTGTCCTCAGACCACTGTCCATGCACCTCCTTGCACCTAGTCTGCTCCCTCACCTGCCCCGTGCCAAGGTCCACCTTCACCTCTGGAAAATGGGTCTTTCTGGGGGATGGCTTCTCCCCTCCTGTCAAAACTATCCTCACAACTTGAATTTTTCATGCCTCCTCCCACTCTTGTCCATTCTTCTCCTTGTTTTCAGGTGTATGTCTACATACACCACAACCAATGAATCAGCCAACCTCTTCCCCAATGAAAGAAGTCTTAGTTACAGATGCAACTCGGAGCTAAAATCCTAGTGTCCCTGTATGTGATCCAGTAAGCCCTCCTCAAACCTCTGAACACACACTGAGATAAGTCCCTCACTCATGCCCAGGACAAACATTAACCCCAGGCACAGATTAATTCTTGACTCTGTTTATAGATTAGACCATATGACTGGCCTCAGATTGAGCCCCAACTCCAGCCATATCTCAGCCATAATCTGAATTCTAATCCTTGTCATGTATTGAATCCTATCTCTGTTCTCCATATGAGCATCATTGGTCCTGGTACTGCATGGCTCCTCCAAAATAGGACAGACTTTCAAGAAAGGCTCAGTAGCAGCTGTTTCAAAGAGTTCTGGACACAGGACTACAACGCCAGCAATCTTTCTCTAGTGTCCTGGCACTGAATCCTTTGATTGATGTGGACCTGACGCCCTACTCATTCCATGTTGTATAGCCCTAATAGTTTTAGTGTGTGACAGTCCCTGCTGTCCTATCCTTTTGACCTATCACTCTAACTTACCTTTGTTGATGACTTCTGGGCCAATGCTCAAAATTGCCTGGCCTTTTGGTGAAGCTTGGGCCAAGGATATTACAAGCAAACCCCAGAGAAGTGCCAGTCCCCATGGCTGGAACATCTTTATTCCTATAATCAGCAAAGAATATGGAATGATCACAATGCCTCATGGAAGTGAAATGATCCTATTAGAAGGACCAGGCAAGAGGAAGAATTTTGGGAAAGGGTATGCCTAGTATAAAAACAGGGCTTGTTGTTGGACACAAATATATAATAAAAGCAAGGGAAATAAGGACAGATGGAAGGAAGGAAGGAAGGAAGGAAGGAAGGAAGGAAGGAAGGAAGGAAGGAAGGAAACATTTATTAGGTTCCTACTATGTGCCTGGTACTGCGCTACGTGCTTTACAAATATTATGTCATTGATCCTCACAATAGCTCTGGGAGGTAGGTGCTATTATTATCCCCATTTTGCAATTGAGGAAACTGAGGCAGACAGCGGTCAAGTGTCTTACCCAGGATTACACAAATCATAAATGTCTGAGGTCACATTTGAAACTCAGGTTCTCCTAACTCCAGGCCCAGCACTCTATCCACTGTCCCACCTAGCTGCCTCTAGGCATTTCATTAAATGCCTTTGCTTTGAACTAATTTTGTCGTGTGGCTGACTACTGGTAAACTGAACCTGTAATTGGGTAGCTGGAGTTTTCTGGAGGGTCTTATGTGCAAGAAGATGTGACTCAAGTGCTACCTAAACCACAACTTTGCCTTTTAAGGGCAAGGATATGACTCTAGGCAGGATCCTTCTCTCTAAGCTGACATTTCTGACTCTTTAAAGTGAAAGGCTCATTACGCAAGATAGTCTTCAAATTCCTTATAGCTCAAATGTTTTGTAGTTTTAAGAGCTCACATCCTTCCTCTCCACCAGATCCCCTTTGGACATTTTGCTGGGATTTGCAGCAGGACAAGCATTCATTCAATATCCATCTATTAAGTGCCTACTGGGTGAAGAACTCCTTGCTAGGTGCTAGAGGAGATAAAAATAAGCTATACTATCATCCCTGCCCTTATAGAACTCACAGTCCAATATGGGAATAAGACATATACACATAAGAAACAAGATTGCAGGGCATTAGAGGAGTGCAAAATTGTGCTGTGTGAAGTCTGCAGGGATGGTTGTGACCAACTGTGTAAATCAGGGAAGACTTCTTGGAGGAAGCAGCAATTGAATTGGGTGGGAGCAGAGTTGGGTGGATAGCACTGCTGGTCTTCCCAGGTTTCACTGCCAACACCTCTTTCTGCCTCCTGTCTTCTTATTCAGTGGAACTCAAGGCCTGGAGTAAAAGAGGAATTCTTTTTCACCATATGGTTGGGGACCACTGCCTACAGGGTAAAATCTAAACTCACTAACCCAGCATTTGAAAACTTCCAAAATCTGGCTCCGCCCTATTTGTCTAGCTCTGTCCCATACTTGCTGCTCGCCTGCTTAACCTCAGCCCCCTTTCAGTCAGGCTTGTCTTCCCATTCTCCCCCTTCCTCAGCACTAGGCTCATTCCCTCCTCTGTGCCTTGGCTAAGGTCTGCCATACCTAGGATGACATACTCTGCCTTCAAGGCCCTGTTTAATTTCCAGACCCTGATAGAAAGCCTGAACAACCCAGTTCAGACATCCTGTAAGCGATATACCCTTGGCTCTCTGATTCTTAGCCCACACTGTCTTGTGATATCTCTCGTATTATTTGACTCTTCCTTAATTACCAGAAGTGCAGGCTGGCTTTCAAAGACACAGAAAAACTAGAGGCTAAATTGCCAACATTCACTGGATTATGGTGAAAGTGGAGTTCCAAGACAAGCCTCTGATTTTGCTTCATTGGCTACATTAAATCTTTTAACTGTGTGGATCGCAACAAAATGTGACAAATCCACAAAGAAGTAGGAGTACCAGATCATCTTACTTGTCTCCTGAGTAACCTATATGCGGGCCAAGAAGAAACAGTTAGAGCTGAACATGGAGCAACTGATTGGTTTAAGATTGGAAAAGGGTGTGACAAGGTTGTATATTGTCACCTTATTTATTTAACTTACATACAGAGTATATCATGCAAAATGCCAGGCTGTATGAATCAAAAGCTGGAATTCCTGGAAGAAATGTCAACAATCTCAGATATGCAGATGATACCACTCTGATGGCAGAAAGTGAAGAAGAATTAAGAAGCCTCTTGGTGAGGGTGAAAGAAGAGAGTATAAAAGCTATCTCGAAGCTTAACATAAAAAAAAAACCCCATAAGATATTAGCAAATGGTCCCAATCACTTCCTGGCAAATAGAGGAAGAAGAAATGGAAGCAGTGTCAGATTTTACATTCTTGGGCTCAAAGATCACTGCAGACAGCAACCATAGCCATGAAATTAAATGACCCTTGCTCCTTAGAAGGAAAACTGTGGCAAATTTGAACAGATTACTAAAAGCAGAGATAAGACCTTGCTGACAAAGATTCATATGGTCAAAGCTATGATTCTTCCAGTAGTAAAGTATGACTATGAGAGTTGGACTATAAGGAAAGCTGAGCACTATAGAATTGATGCTTTTGAATTGTGGTACTGGAGTAGATCTTTGAGGGTCCCTTGGACAGCAAGGAGGTCAAATCAGTCAATATTTAGAGAAATAAATTTAGGCTATTCATTGGAAGGTCCAATACTAAAGCCAAAGCTTAAATACTTTGGTCACATAATGAGAAGATGAGACCAATTGAAAAAGACCCTGATGTTGGGGAAGATTGAAGACAAAAAGAGAAGGGGATGGCAAAGGATGAGATGGATAGATAGTATCAGGGACACAAGGAACATGACTTAGGACAGACTTCAAGAGATAATGGAGGACAGATGAGCCTGGTGTGGGATAGTCCATGGGGTCATGAAAAGTCAGACATGACTGAGCAACTGAATAGCAATAACCACAATAGATCCCAAAGACCAGGGTTCCAGCCCTGGCCTCAATTCTCACTAACTCTGTACCTTTGGTAACCCCTTCATCTCTCTAGACCTCAGCTTCTTTATCCGTCAAATGAGGATAATAATGCTTTGTATTGCCTACCTCACAGGGCTATTGCCAGGAAAATGCTTTGTGAACCTAAGAATACCACAGAAACGGAAGTTATAATTAACTCTTACAGGTGTTTTGTCTTCCCAAATAGACTGTGAGCTTCCTGAAGCCAAGGGCTATGTCTTCTCCTACTGTTGTTTCTCCCACAGTATCTTTCCCTTGGCTTCCTATCTCACAGTTTTCTCTCATATTAGACTGTGAATTCCTTAGGGCAGAGACTATGGTTTTGCCTTTCATCGTGTTCTCATCACTTAGTACATTGCCTGGTACATAGTTGGTGGTTAACAAATGTTTGTTGATTGACTGATTATAAAGATCGGTCATTATATTATATAGATCTATGATTTCATCTTTTTGGGTACTTCCTCTAGCAACATAGATTCCAGCCCTCCAGGCCTTTCTAGACAAGCTTAATTGATTGTCACGGATGAAAAATTCTATCTTCTGTTGGCCAAGCCCCTGGTGATGGATTATGGGTCTCGCTGCATTGTCTAAGCTTGTCCTTAGATAACACACAGTACATATCACCAGAACTAATACCTGAAGTCCTTCCAGCTGGGTAGGATGCATTTGTTCTCTACTAGTATAGAGCCTTCAAGAAGTCAAGGTCACTGTCATAACACAATGGGACATTGGAAGAGGAAATTAGTCCAAAGAAGAATTAAATCATTGCCTGAATGATCTGATTGAGACCTCCTATCAGAGAAGTTCTGGCCCTGAAGGTTCAAAGTCTTTCCACAACTTTCTGCAGGGAACTGCTGCTGAAGTTGCATCTTTTGTGAATCAGTGCCATCACTGAGAGACGTTTTGTCTTGGCATCATTGAAGAACACACCTGGTGACTCCCATCTTTACTGCCACAGGGAATTGTGCTGCAATTACCCATGAGTGGAGGAGGCCAGCCCAATGCCACGGCCAATTTGATGGAAAACAGAACTGGCAGAACTAAGGCAAAGACCAGAACCAACTAGAGAGGAAAGTGAGGATTGTCAGTGGCTTAGAGCAGAAAGCATGCTGGACGTGGAGGCACAGAATGTGGGTTCAAGTCCTGTCTCTGGCCCTTAGTAGCTGCATTACCTCAGGGAAGTCAGTTTCCCCTTCTGGGACTCAGTTTCATCATCCATAAAATAAAGATAGCTCAAAAGGGCATTATGAACAAAGTGTTTTCTAAACCTTAAAGCCGTCTTAAAATATGAATAGTTAATATTACTTTTTTTTAAATCATTAGCACATAGAAGGTAGAGGTCAAAAATGGAACAAGCCAGGGAACAAGGTCAGAATCCGAGAATGATGTAAAAGCCAAACTTCATGACGGACAGTAGCTTTACGTAGAGTGAAGAGTTCTGGGCTGGAACTCAGAAGAACTGGGTTCTATTTTAACACATAACTTTGGACAAGACATTTCACCTATGCTTGGTCCCAGAGGATAGAACTAGGAACAGTAGATGGAGGTTACAAAGAAGTAGGTTTTGGTTTGACATAAGGTAAAACTTTCTAATTATTAGATCTATCAATAAAATAGTATACATTGATTTGGAAAATAGTGAGTTACCCATCACTAGAAGTTTTCGCCAAAGGCTATATGATCATTTGTCAAGAAGAAATTACTGTTTTGGTGTGGATTAGACTAGATGGCCTCTGAGATTCTGATTTTCTCTGACCCTCAGTTTCCTTATCTGTAAAATAAAGAGGCTAGCCTAGACAGTCTTTAAGGTATATGTTAGCTCTTGTAATCGAGTCGAAAAGGAGGGGACTTCCTGACAAGATAGCTGCCCATCCAGCTTCCACAGCAAAAGCCTGCAATTTACACCGGATGGAATAATGATCAAGAAATCCATTCTGAAACCATAGTAGGTGACTTCTTCTATCCTAGAACTGCATAAGAGGTCAGCAAGAAGCCAAAAGGCAATAGGAATGCCCAGCATAGTGTTTTAGGGCTATTAGAGATAGCTAGGGACACACACACAGACACAGAGACACATAGACACCCACACACCCACACATGAGCTAGTGAGCCTACAAGAT